CTGCCTCCCCTCTGGGCCCAGTCAGTCTAGACTCAGCCCACCTGCAAGCTCAAAATCAAATAAAGGCACTTGGATCAGATTATCTAGTTCCTCCCACCTCTCTTTCTGGTGCATTTCTAACACTCTTCTTCATTTGGGAAAATCTGGAAAACCTCTTAATGAACCAAGATTTTAAAATCTTTCACTCAAATGTATTTCTTTAGAAGATGATTTCTAGGAAATGTTATCAAAAGTGTAGAGAGGAAATAAAAATTGACAGCTGTAAGAAAACTGTAACACTTACTAGAGAAAATGGAACTGACTACTTTCACTAGACTTAACACTCCATTAAGGCAATGAGTGGGGCATTGCTCGTACCTTAAGAGAGCCTGGAAGATCCTAGTCCCCAATAAATGCTCATTATACCAATGAACAAATGTTAGATGAGAGTGACTATCATATTAGTACCTAAGAAAATATATACAGGTATTTCCTTTAGTGATATACTTGAGGCAGTTCTTCATTAAAGAAACAAAGTCTATTACTTATTCATTCACTTAGTCGAAAAGGATGACTGAACACACCTAGTGCTTAGTAGTTACTAAGACTCTTGAGATAAACAGGAAGAAAAACTTAGTTCCTCTTCTTAAATGCGTATCCTTGAGAGGAGGAGTCAGACAAAAACCCGACACAAAAGCTTATAAGTTAATTGTGATATGGGCCATGCTAGATATAATCAAGGCACAGTGAAAACCAATTTTCCCTGGGAATTAGGAAGTCCGAGCACCTGTTTGAGTGGTGAGGCGTGTCAGGAAGGAGTATACACAGTAATAACGCTCTTCGCCTGCAGAAACTAGAAACAGGGTAAGACCATGGACAGCCAGTCCTTCGTATGCCACAGGGAAAAGGACTGCCCTTCCGTGGGCCAGGGTGCTAGCTGGCTGAGAACCTAAGCACTGACGCATTAGCCAGACTCTGGGCCTTCCCTCAGGGTCTCCAGCGACCCAGCTGTTCTCCCTGGCTCGCATCAGAAACTGCAAAGCCCAGGGCTGCATTCTAGGTCTGGCCTTGCCCACAACTAAGGATCCAGCCTTGGTCAAAGCTTCCATCTTGTCAAGTGTTCATCTCCCCTAGTGAATGAGCATAAGAATAATTCTGCACCTGAGTGCTGGGATGATCAAATAAGACAGCACTGAGAACCTGTGGTATAAGCAATGTAACTGTTCAATGTGACTGAAATGAAAATGATGATGATGACAGGGTGGTGATGTGGATATAAACCATTTGTGGAAACAATCTGAAATCAAATACTTCTCTGTTCGTTTAAGAATTCTTCTTTTGCATGTTTTAAATACCCACAACAGTACCTAGGCAGTGGTTTGCACTCAGAGATATTTGGAAATGTGCATCAAGAATGCAGGTTGTTAAATTATTCCGATGCCACATGACTACTAAAAAGACAGGCTCTGCAGTGTGAACCATTCCCACACATCAAAGATCTGTCCACTCAAAAATGCCAATAAAGCCCCGGTGAGAACCGCTGCTAGATGCTCAACAGATAAGAAATATTCAGTAAATATTTGCTAAATACATGAGTGGTTCATATGATATTCATTTCCTTCAGGGCAAAGTAGACTGCCAGTCTCTTGAAATCAAGGAATGTAACTCATTTATTTTCACCTTATGAGATACCCAACCCTGAAACTGACACATGATAAGCAATGACTATCTGAAAAATCCCATCATCAAATCAAGACAATCTATTACACTACAAGAAATTATAACTATTTGGCATGGGTAAGGTAGGGCGATCATGTTAAAGATGTTCTCTCCAAGTCTGGTAAGGACATTGGGAAAACAATACTAAAACTCAGAGGTCCTAGTGAAATGAATGAGGCTTTCCTCCATCAGCAGATGACTGACTGCAATTTTTAAACATGACCATCCCAATAACTAAGTCAGAAAGAGTGGTAGCTGTATAAAGATCAATATGCTTTACAGAGGAATTTTAACCCAAAGACATATACTTTTTCTCTGGATATCAGTTTAACAGTAGGCGGGTCAAAATTAAAATATTTGGGTATCTTCACCTTTCTCTTTGGAAGGAAAAGCACCAGAACAGTATACAGAATGTATTACATTGCATATTTTTGTGTTTCAAAAGAACAAAACCAGCTTTCTCAAAGACTGATTAATAGGAGCCAAGTAAGTGTATAAAATAGCAAAAGGTTACAACCAAGTGAATAAAAGATAGTATGAAACAGTGGAAATAAAACATTAGAAGGCATTTTAAAGATTAGATAATCTTCTCTAACCTTGACAAAGAGCAAACTTTCCCTCAGAGGTTGATGAAAAAAAGCACAGAAAAGCTAATTATACAGACATGGCAGAAATGGGGGTAGAAATGAAAAACAATACATGAAAGCAAAAAGTAAGATCAAAACAACGTATTACTTCACAGCATTAAAGAAAATGTAAAACACGTAGTAATGAAAGAATTTCTCAGATCTTAAAAGAGGTTTCAAAATTGCAAATGTATTTTTAATTGATCTTTCTCCTTAGCCAAAAGAAGTGCTTTTTAAAAACAAATTCAATTGCAAGGATCAAAAAAACTGACTTAAAGTAGAACAAACTAAATTTTACAATAAAAGCTTTTCAAGTCTCAGCAGACAAACACTGTTAGGTCCTCAAAAATGAATAAATTATTAATACCAATATAACAGGAATTGTATTGTAGGAGCCCTGTATATAAAGTGGCATATAAAAGAATTTTCAGAAGAGAGGAAGCATATAAGTCAATGAAGTAAATAAAGAACTGTCAAATTTTAATTAGTGTCAAAAATCCTAACCTGCCTCTGTGGAGAAGTTAAATACACCAGCTAACAATGTGGGCCTCTAACAATGTCCATTTATTATGACCAGTCCCCCTGAACAAAGCATTAACATGGAAACTACTATTACACATTCTGTTTGTTATATTTATCAGGGAAAGAAATCTGATAACGTATTGGCTGTTTAAATGAATTCTCAGGAGACCCATAAAAGTACTGAGAATAGAATGAATTTTATATTTTTAGAAGTGTTCAATTTGGTCAAAGGGGAGAAAGGGGGTGTCACACATAGATAAGAGCCACAACATTTCTTCAGTACAGCAGCTAGGTTTGGTATCGAGAAGTTGGGTGCAGTGGTGAAATCCTCTTTCAGCCTTGCTTCCGATTCCAACGTGTACTAGATGAAGCAAGAACTTCTACTAAAGTGATCAAGTGTCTACACAGCTTCCAGGTTACCAGTGTCATTGTGTGTCACAGCCCAAACACATTCATACAAAGGACACATAACAGGCTTAGAGTACCTGATGACTACATCTAGGCTTGTACATTTATGAAGAAGTACAATTTGAACTGTCAACATGGCCAAGCATGGAGTTGTGGGCTGCTGACTATTTATAAACTTAACATGGTTTACACCTACCTTTAGTATTCTTAGTTCTTTTACTTAAAAAAAAAAACTATTCCAAAAGGAACTATACATGAGCTGAAGCCTTTCTGCTTTGACTTTCATCATGTACACACACAAATTCAATTTTAAGCAGAAAACACATCTAGAGAAATTTCATTTGGTAAGTACTTACTGAAAAAAAGAACTATCTGTAGTACTAGTGGACAAAATACAGCTGCTCACTTTTATAATTATTATAAACCTGAGTCCATAAAAAGCTCTACCTCCTCAACTCCATTCACAGTAGTTACGAGGTTTATTTCACCAATCGTCTGTCTACACAACTCTTTAATAATTTCACTGACGTATTATGATCTCAAAGGCTTTTTACTTCAAGGTCTAACATATCCCCTTCTTTGCACCCAAAAGGTAAATGTATATGTGAGGGGTAATGTGCATTCTGTTCTTGAACAATGTAATCTGCTAAGTGACATAACTTTTGGCCCTGGTCTCTCTGGGACGTGTGCACTTCATAGACATCTGCTCACACCTACATTGGAAACTTTAAAATTTAGCCTTGAACAAATAAAGGAAAGCTCCAGTTATGTGAGTGTCTCCTCAATGAAAATCTAAGTATCAAATAGCAATTATCAAGTATGTATACCACAAGACATCACAGGTTAAGGAGACATGGTCTGAGTGATCTTTTCTCCATTCTCCATTTTCTCTGCAAACCCACCATGAGTAGTCTCTCAAGCCTATCCAAACATCTGCCCCCTGACTACTTCAAACCTTGCATATGATCGCTTTCTCCCTAGCAGAAGCTATTTTAGTCTACGATGACCAGTCCCTTGGCCTGTGCCTAACTCGAATCTCTATTTTCCCATCTCCTCAGGCAAAAGCACTATCCATGATTTACTTTGTTATTCAAAGGAGGCAATTTATTAATGTCCTCTTCTTTATGACACTAGCACAAGCAAGTTACAGTTACTCATAAAGTCTTCTAAAAATTACAAGTATCAACATTTATTTGAAATCTTGTTTTACAGCTTCAAAAGCGCCCATCTTTCTGCTTTTTCACAATAATATCTTGGGATCCTCAAAATGAGGACTAAGATACTTTATACAAACTTGCTTGCCCTTCATCGTGGTGCAATTATTCATTCAACAAACATGTTCCCTAGCCCATGCTATTAGTACTGCACAAAAACGTCACTGAATGACTGCCTTTCTCTGCTACCTACACACCTATATCAAAAGCACGCTATTTTTTCTGCAGATGGCCTCCGCCCTCCTCCCTATACCCTCCTCTTGGCAAGTTGCTCACCCACCCCACCCCAAAACACTTCCTAAAGTAGGGGCAAGGAAGGCAAAGGAATGGAGGTGATGCCATTCACCCTCAGCTGTCAAGCGTAGAGCCCGGAACGCATGCGCAGTGCGAGCAATCAGGTCCCGCGGTGACGTGGGCCCAGTGCCTGCAGTCGACCCCTGCGGGTAATGCAGATCAGGAGCGGCCTGCTCGGCCCTGGGTGGGCAGTGTCCGAGGGGACAGTGTGGCATGTGGATTGGTTGGGCACACTCACAATTTCAGCATCCACTCGCCCTCCAAAACCAGCGTCCAGTTGGAGGCGGTCATGGGAAGCACCATGCTCTGCTCCGCCGGCAGCGAAGCCCGCTCTGGCCGGGCCTCCTCCTCCGTCTCCGCAGCGACCCAGGCGGCTAGAAGCACCGTCAACAGCAGATTGCAGCGCCCTCCCGCCATATTGGGGCGTGGGTCGCGGCTCCTGCACAGGGCGGGTGAAGAAAAGTAGTAGCGGATCCAGGGCCTCGCTCGCTGCACCACTGGGCCTCTAAAGGTAGACGGAGGGGCAGTGGGGCTGCGTCGCTTCCGCTCAGCAGAGCAACCAACAAGCTGTAGTCTCTGGAAGCGGCGAGCACCGCCTCTTATCAGCCCGGGTGCGATGAGGCCACGCCCCTCCTGCCTGGACTCGCCACTGTTGCCCGGGGTGTCAGTTGCCTAGGCAACAGCCTGCCATTCTTCCGGACCACCAAGCTGAAAATAAAGAGATGACCCGATGTTGCTCAAGTTAGAACTTGCTCCGCGTGTGCCCAGCCTACCCAGTAAAGAGAGGCGGGGCGGGGGGTGGATGGCGCGTGTGGGTTTTTCTAAAGAGAAACATGACCAGTGATTTAGGAACTCATCCTCTCTTCAATAGTAGCAAAATAACAACAATGAACTGCAAAGTAAACCTGTTTAACGAAGAATGGAGTAGGCATGAGTATCTTGCTAAAAGGGCAGGGAAAGTTAAAGTACTCTCTGCATGTGTATATTGAAATATCATTGCCTAATTGGAGGTAATTGTGAAACTAGACTATGTAGTTTCAAAACTATGTTCTTTACAAAAACAATTTTAATTTTATAAAAACTTAATACGTGGGCACTAATAGATAGTTAATTAGAAGAGTGCCAATCACAATTAAATGCACCTCACACTTTCCTCGGTTACAGTTTTGTTAGATCTAAAATGAAAGTAGCTTTAAGTATTTCCAATTTTTTTCCCAGGTACACATTAGTGCATCTGTACCTGGAGGCCACCACACTCTAGTGTGTGTGGCCGAAATACATTTTAGAGGGATGGCGAGCTTTTCAAAGTGTGTTTTATAAGAATCCATTAGGTGTTCAAAGTATAAAACTGATTAACGTGATGTAAATCCTGAGAAAAAAGACACCTACTAAGAGGGCTTCTGGTAGCTAACTGGACTAAAATTGTTTAAAAACAGAGCCTAGCAGCCATTTCTGCGCAGCCTCTTCTCACGCAAACTGCACTGTAGAGGGAATCCTGCACTGAACCACCTGCCTGTGCATGTAAATACCTGCCTCTGTACTGAGCTTCCTGCCTACGTGGTGTTCTTGGGGGCTAGGATGGGTATCAGCCAGGCCTCATAAAGGAGTTCCTGGAATCCTACTTCAACCAATAGGACTGAAGCTTTCCCCATATAGTAGAACTGCACATCTCCAAACAACCAGAGTAGCTCTATTCTGACCAATCAGGAGAGTACCTTTTGGGCCAATCAAACTTTGAGATTTGGATTCTTCATTTGAATGAGGAGAGACCAATCAGGGACCAAGGGCGGGATTTTTGTCTATATATGCCAATTTTCCTGTAGCTCTGAGTGCACATTCCCTTTCCAGGCAGGATGAAGGCAGTGTTTTTTCCTGAACTGCTCCACAGTCATGCTGTTTTCACAGATGTGCTGTGTTACAGTCAAGCATTTTTGTACAGAATAAAATTTCTTTCTTCACTTCACCCCAGGTTGGAGATTCTTGTTGGCATTGAATGGGTGCCAATAACCATCAGTTGACAATAATCAATATACCATGAAAAATATGTGATTTCTGTTCTTAACACAAACAGCTATACAACTATGATTATTGCAGGGCATGTGAGATGAATCTACAATCACTATGTATAGCAAAGAAAGGTTAAGGTTGCCTCCAGCAAAGGTTGCCTCCAGCAAAGGTCTTGCCTGCTTTAGTTGTTAACTGGTAGTAACTAAATTTTATGTGGAACCTGTCCTTATCAAGTTGTGACTCAAATTTACAAACTATTATAAATTTGGAAAATGTTTCTTCAATAACTGTTACTAAGAGTCACTGTTATTGTATACAGATTGTTATCAAACTCAAGGGATTTGGAGCTTGGGGTGCTCTATTTAAGAAAGTTGTTGCAAGACAGTTTTATTTCCTTTGGATATAGATTCATACTCAAAGCTCTGTATCCTCTAAGGAAGGCTTAGCCAGTGCTTATAAACACTATTTGGTCAATTACATGTTGATTCTCTTTTGTAGATGGCTACACTCACTTATCAGGTTGGGTTCCTGTCCAGCACAGTCTGTTTACAGCTGCATCTGCAAAATACTGTGCTACATTTTAACATTTGGCAAGAATAGCATTTAGTAAGAACTTCTTAGACCTTTTGACCCTTTCCTACCTAACAAGATCGATTTTTAAACTCAATTGAAAACATCTGATTTTGCTCAAAAAAGCAAGGACTCATTTGTGTGAATTCTACCATTCTATTCAATTCAGTGTATATGTGATTTCTTTTTAAAAACTTCTTAAAAATAGAATCTGATAATAAGGAATTACTATAGATTTTGTTGGGTGTAATAATGGTGTTATGACTATATATTTTTAATGTGTCTTGGTTACAGATAGTGCCATATTTATGACTGAAATAATATATATATATGCTGTCTAGAATTCACTTTTTAAAACTTCAGAAATAAAATCTGGAGAGTGGAGGAGGGATGGGTGAAACCAAAGTGACACAGTATCAAGTAATGGTAAAGCTAAGTTGATTTTTACTATTCTATCTATTTTTGTACATGTTGGAAATTTTCTAAAATTAACAAGAGCATATCTGAGACACGGAGAAACTGTTGCTTGCAACAGCATGGATGGAGCTAGAGGGGATTGCGCTCAGTGAAAAGTCAGACAAAGACCAACACCATATAGTTTCACTTATATGTCGATCTAGGAACAAATAAAGCCAATAAACAAAATTGAAGCATACTCATAGATACAGAGAGAAAACTGGTGGTTACCACAGAAGAGAGAGAGATGGGTTCCTAGGTGGAAGAGCGGAAGGGACTGAGAAGTACAGCTAAAAATAGTCATGAGGAAGTAGGTAAAGCATAGGAAATATAGTCAAGGATATTGTGATAACTCTATATAGTGCCAGTTGAGGTACTAGAAATATAGAGGGGAGCATTATGTGATATGGACACCGGCCCGCAGTGTCCACGTCATTATGGATGAAACGAGACATTCACACGGACTACCGAGTCCAGTGGAGGAAAAGGGGCAGCATGGCTTTTCCCTCAAGGGGAGCAACAGCCGCAGCCCTCACCATGACAGGCCTTTATTGGGTTTCTCCCCACATTACATGATGGTCCTCATTTACTATGCACAGGTTGCTTTAGGTGGTTACCTTTTATGGAAAACAAAGGAGCCAATGCCGCTAATCACATCACAGAAGAGGGATATTTGCAAATGAAAAGGGCAAAAGTGGTTGGACCGGTTACACTGGTTCTAGGAAGGTTTAGCACAGATTTTAGGAGGTTATTTTACAGTAAATGTTAGCCATGAATCCGGGTGAGGGAGTTTTTAGCAAAAAGCAAGACTCAAAGCAGCCTAGGCACATTGCAGGCCTGATTACCCACAGGAGAACCTATCTATGGGCATGGGTCCTGTGCATCTCCGAGTGGGGGCTGGGCCCATGCCATGCAGAAAGGTCTCCTATAATTATGTAAATTAAATGATGGTCTAACCACTAAGCTGTATACCTGAAACCAATACATAATTTTAAAAAAACTATTGGTGAAGCTTTACCTATATCTAACACAAAATGTGTGTTCAAAAATTGAATTTCTTGGCCTTCAGACTAAGGTGAGTAGGAAAGAATATAGCAAGAATGTCTGTGAACTAGTGTGTGGTGGGGTGGCATTGACCGGGGTCAGGAAAGCAATTGCTGTTAAACCGTGATTGACATCTCAGCCTGACACTTCCTACCAATGTGACTTGGGGCTAAAACTATTTAACACCAAGGTTCTACTTAAATGCAGGTAATAATAGAACATGCTGCATGTGATGGTTGTGAAGACTGAATGAGATAACTATAATGCCTAACTCATGGTATGATTCAGTAAAGGTTATGTACTACTATTGCTGCACGGAAATGAAGCGACCAGACACCGAGGGATTCTGGAGTATGAGGTTTATTATTTAATGTGCACGGGCTCAGAGGAGTCAGTCTCCAAATTCTGAGCCCCGAACAAAGGATTCTTGGGGAATATATAGATTAGGGGTCTTCCTATGTACGTGACAAACGTGGGGTACAGAAGCAGAATGTGATAATCGTTCTATCAGTGGGGGTGCTAGTTCCAGTCCTACTGGCTATCCGCTCTCCAGACGGCCCCATCGCTCTCCTATTGCGCCTGGGGCCTGGGCAAATAAAGGTTAAACAGAGGTTTTTCAAAGTTTCCCATATCACTATTTGGAAGCAACAGCATGCTATAATGCTTCTAAGGCTCTCTACTTCTCCTAAATTAACGTCAAATTCACTTAGCATGGTACACAAAATCCTTCACAATCCAGCTTCAGTTTGCCCACTTTACAGTCCAGCATCCCTATAACCCTCTGTGTTCCAGTAATGCGGAGCTACTTCCCGCTCCCCAGACAACTGAGGAACTGGGATATCAGTCCAACAGCTCTGCAGAATGGAATCCTGTGAACAACCACAAAACTGACGGACAAACAGATCTTTCCCCTGCTGTTGAGACGACTGAGCCTGAAGAGTGTGACCTAGAGCCGGAAGAAACAGCTTAAGTGGATCCTCTAGCCAATAGAAACCCTGAAACAATCAATGGCTGTTGCTTTAAGCCATTAAGGTTTGGGGTAATTTGTCATGCAGCAATAGGTAACTAGGTGTGGGCTGAATCCTTTACACATTTAAAGAATGGAATTATAGTTTTAAGAAGATTGATACCTGGTACTGGGAAAAGAGCTTTTGTCCTGGGAGCAGTTTCCACTGGTAGCACTGTGGGGCTGCCCTGGTTACACAAAAATACATGACTCCAAGTGGGAAAAGGAATACCTTATTCTCTGATGAGCTGCTGCAATAGCAGGAGAGAGAGGAAGAATGTGGCAGATGCATATTCAGTTCCCTTCTCTTTTCTGGCCTGCAGAGCAGTTATGCTTCCATACTCTCTTTGAAGTTAGGCCTACCATTGTAACAGTTCTAGCCAATGGTCAGCAAGCAGCAGGGATGTGAATATATCACTTGCAGGTTGAAGTATTTAATCATGGGTGCCAGGTACTCTAGAATTCCCTTCTCCTATTGTAGAACTTTTACAGAAGGATAATGACCTAGGAGTCTACAAGACAAGAAGAGCCTGAA